TGAGAAATTAGCATCTCCAAAGGGACTGTTTCCAGTCTGTGGGGGAATAGACACTTTTTCCATAGAATCATAGAATCACAAAATGGTTTGTGTTGGAAGGGACCTTAAAGTTCATCTAGTTCCAACCCCCTGCCATGGGCTGGGACACCTTCCCCTAGACTAGGTTGCTCCATGCCCCATCCAACCTGGCCTTGAACACTGCCAGGGACGGGGCCACCACAGCTCCTCTGGGCAACCTGTGCCGGTGTCTCACCACCCTCACAGTAAAGAATTTCTTCCTAATATCTAGCCTAAATCTCCCCTCTTGCAGTTTGAAACTGTTACCTCTTGTCCTACCACTACTCTACCTGATCAAGAGTCTCTCCCCACCTTTTCTGTAGCCCCCTTTCAGCACTGGAAGGCTGCTCTAAGGTCTCCCCAGATCCTTCTCTTTTTCAGGCTGAACAACCCCAGCTCTCTCAGCCTGTCCTCATAGGCGAGGTGCTTCAGCCCCATGAGCATCTTTGTGGCCCTTTTCTGGACCCACTCAAGCAGGTCCATGTCTTTCTTGTGCTGGGGGTCCCAGAGCTGGACACAGCACTGCAGGTGGGGTCTCTTCAGAGCAGAGTAGAGGGGGAGAATCACCTCCCTCGACCTGTTGGCCACACCATAGATCTGATAGTTTCCATGTGAAAAAAATCACTGTTTAAAAAGTAATCCCTAGCAACATGAGTTTAATCCCAGGTTTTTCCATAGACACTGCACAAGTGCAGTGAGTCACTGCCTCATCCGCACTGCTGTGGAAACAAATTCCATTGATGAACCAGCTGTGATCAAACACTGTCCCATTGTTATCTGGACAGGTGTCCCCTGTTTGTGCAGTGTCTTCCTGGCTCCAGATTTTGTTCAAGGTAGAAACATGCGTGGCGCATCAGGGTTTCCCCTGGTTTCTGGGCATTTCCTGCTCTTCCCCACCTTCCACAGCAGCCATCAGAACCATAGGTGTGCATCTCTGTGCAGCTTCTCCAAGGGCACCAATGCCTGGTCCAGCCCACAATGAGTATGCTGCTAGGCTGGGTAGGAAAACTTCAGGGTTTTCCTCCCTTGTTACTTAAATCAAAGCCCACAAACATTTTGCTGTATCTACAAAACATGATATTACTGCTTTCAGTCCCCAACACCCTCTTTTGTTAGAACAAAGCAGGTGAGTAACAGCAGTGGAACAAGTTAGTCCACTTGATAAACTAATTTGCAGATAAAACACTGAAGGACTTAGATTAGTGCAGGGGGAAATAATGAGTACTACCTGATGAATGGTATCAGGAAGTATCTCCTCTTAAAATGCCTTGTGGGTTTTCTGCAGTGACATCTCTGGTTGGCCTCGCACTTGAAAATTGAGTGAAGGCTCTATGGGTGACTTGTTTTCTGGGCAGTAGTAACATGTTCAGCTAATTATACAAGTTCCTGTGTCTTGGTTTCCCTGTGAGAGAGCAGCTTGGGCTGTAGTAGAAAGCAGAGGTTGTTTAAGATGGATCTAACTAGAAGATCTTCTCTTTGAATCACCTAAGAAGGTAAACTATATTATATCTCTGGGTATCTTCTTAATTTTCTAAAACATACACAATGGTAACTATTGTGCTGGGTGGATTTGCAAGAGAAGGTGTAATTATTTTACAACATTTATGAAAAAGAGAAACTTACAGAAAAAGTAAAAAGAAAGTCATGTACATCACCTGTGTCCTGGGTTAAAGTGAGATCTTCCTATTTACCTCTCGGAATCTTCTGCACTTTAGACTTAACTTTAAACAATATTTTTCAGCCTGAATGCTGTGGAGAGGAAGAGATTTGGTAGCAAACTTGGGCTTCTTTAACTCTCTGGGGCTTTGTATGTTGAAGATACTTTTTGCCTCCCAGGAGACAGTTTGTATGAGAAATTATGAATGTGCCCACATATCTTCTGTTTCACCAACTGAAGGCAGATAGATACTTGAGAAATTCTTACTGAAAAATTTACAGCAATTCTTTTTTCAACAAGAAATTAAATGAACAAAGGGAACAGCCGCATTGCTTGACAACATTAAAATTTTTCCCTATTTGCAATTGGGTACTTGTTTTCTAGTTTTCTGGCTTTCTAGGTACAGGTTTGGGATTTTTGGACTTTTAAAGAGCTATCAAAGCCTGATGAGCAGCATGGTTCTTATTTATATAAGTTCTTCTCTATATGGTTTCCTATATACATAATTAACAGAGCTTTTGGTCTCAGTTACACGGCTGCACAAAGGGTGCTTGAAAATAGAGGCTGATCCACAACATTTGAATACGAATGCAAGTTTGTGAACAGTGCAAAAAATACATGCAAAACTGTAGCAGATGCTGTTTAACCTCATCATAATTTTGTTTAATGTCCTTTTTTCCTTTCTATTATCTGTTTCATCAACCTGTTACCAAAGGAATACAGGTTCTTTGCACAGATTAAGCCATTATACTATATGCTGCGAGCATATGCTGCGTATACAAAATTATCAGAAATCTTTGTTTTGTTAGTGTTTCTGTTATTGAGTCATGCCACTATCTCAACAACTTGTGTCACAGCTTATAACTTGGCAATGGTTCCCTCTTGATCCGTTTTAATCCATCTTGGTCTTGGGATCAGCCAGATCCGTGGAAGTCTTGAGGCTGTCACAAGTGGATGATACTTCAAAACAGCAAAATAGCCTCTTTTGTAGCATGCTGGATATACGGAAGGACATGCCCAGGAAACTGAAGAGACATTTTCTTTTATCTACTTTTTTTTTTTTTTTCCCCTCAATTCTGCCAGCCGTTTATCCATTGGATTGAAAATGCCTGTAAGAGCCTTTTTTTTAAGTGTTTTTTGGGATCACGTGGAAAGATATTATGAATCAGTTAGATGTCTTGCTTTCTGGTTATTCCTATATAGGAGCATAAGAGCAGTCATACTGTATCAGCTCAGATGACTAGATAGCACAGTTTTCCGGGGTTTTTGTTTGTTTTTTCCTCTGTTGCTACCTTAGAATATCTTAAAATTAATTTTCCTTTTCTAATTGTTCCTCAGAGTTCAGCTGACATTTCCTTAGACCCCATTTCTGAGTGGCAATAGCTAATTCAGAGTCCATCACAGAATACATAGTGTCAGGATCATTTCTTTCTACCTTACATTTATCAATGCTGAATTTCATTAATCCCATGACCCAGTCACTCAGTATCCTGCATTCTTTATGCAGATCTTCACAGGCACACTTTGCTTTTGTTAGTCTTTTGTAGTATTCCACAGTGTTGTATCACTAATTACTGTCTTTTCCACATAACTTGAGAACAGAGGGTAAGACACAGGCTTACACACATGTTCCGGCAGAGCTGTGGTGATGGTATCTCGCTATTGGCAAAAGAAATAATTTCTTCCTACTTTTGTCTCTTGTTTTTGAACCCGGGCAGTATCCAGGTGAAGTCTCACTGCTACCAAATCTCTTCTTCTTCACAGCATTCAGGCTGAAAAATGTTGTTTAAAGTCTCTGAGAACCACCTTTGGTGAGAAAGCCTGACAAATCCCTGCTGGATACCCACATCGGTGACATCAAGTATATTGCTTGTCTATAAGCCCATTGCTGTCCTCTATCTGTTCATGAGGTGAGACCACAGATCATGTTCATGCTATAATTTTCTGTTATGGGCTTTTTTGAGCAGGACCGTCACAGTGAAGTGCCCTGTCTACTTGGGAGCACCAGCTCTGATATGCAATGGTGGTGGCAATAGGCAGCCATTGTCAATGTTCATTATGATCTCAGAAGATGCTGATTTTTCTGCCTTCACTTGCTGATTCACAGCCTCTCAAAGCCTGAGGTCCTAGCTGGTTTGTGTGAACAGCCTTTTCAATACGAAAAGATCATAATTTTACAAAACCTCATTATTTAAACCAAGCTGGTGTTATCCAGTCAGGCACTGTTCAGTACTATTAAGAGTCTTTTCTCAGTGGTTTCCTTTCTTAAAATGATTTTCATAATCTGCTTGAGTTCTGCCATTTCCTGTAGTTCTCTAAAGGCTGTTAATCCTGGAGCTAGGGAAGTGCTTTGTTAGGAATAATCAGAAGGCACATATTCATAGCAAAATACATATTTTTATGTATTCTTCAGCTCCCTGCCTCTATTCCCTCCGGTTGCATAAGATGTGTCAATACCTGATGTAAGGGTCCATGAATATTTTGCTTCTCCCTTTATGTTTCATCATCCAATCTACTGCATGAGTAAATTAATTTAGGTATTAATGAGTTTGAAAAAGTTGGGGTTTTGTTGAGGTTTTGATTTCAGGCACCACATTCTATTTCAGTGTGTCAGTATTCTTGTGTTCTAGGTTATTTACTTGCTAACATCAGTGCAATTTTTTGAGCCGTATACCAAAACCTCAAAATTACATGTCTTTTTTCCAGGACATATCACTCTTCATTGTTTCCCTTCTTAGCCAAGGGGTAACAAACAGACAGAAATCTCCAGCTGGGCCCATGTTGTTACCACAGCCCTCTCCAGAGTGCAACACAGCTGGTAGCAGAACAGTATGGGCCCTCGCTTACAGCAACATGTCTGACTATTCCCTCATGTTCTGGCTGTGCATTTGCCAAGTACCACTGTGAGGAATATTTGAAGATCCAAAGTCAACTTTTCTTGTGGCAAATGGATTTCTGGCACCTCATTTGATCCTGTTAGGAAGCTGCTTAGGACTGTGTTTTCTCCAAGCAATTGCTTTCTCCCTACAGTTTGAGTTGGTACAGCTGATGCGAAAAAAAGGAGATATGAGGGAAACAATCTGGTGACAGTGGTGGAGTGATAATTACAGACCTTGTTCCATGCTCTGTCTTGGATGGAGCGAACAGGCAGAGTGTGCTGAAAAAGTCTGAACATCCTGTTTTTGTAGAGTGTGCTTGTATTTCCTACTGTGTGAGTCAGCTGAAAATTCCCTGATCCTTTTCCTCCATTTTCTTTTCAGGTTGTACAGCAAAGTCGCTGGACAAAATGCCATCCCTGATTACTGCAGGTCTCCACTGCCTATTTCTACTGGTGACAGCATGTTGCCAGACATCACAGGACTCAAACTTTGATCCGTTCATCCCATATGTTGTGAGTATCCATTCCCAACACCATTGGTTTGCATTTGGTCTCTGCTTGTAGCACCCAGCTGCTACAGCTGTCCTTTACATCCACAAAATATTAGAGGAGGTCAGTATAAGATCAGGTGGGGAAACTAAACCCAGAGTCTCTCCAATGTGTAAAAGAGATGGATAAATCCAGGAACTGGGTTCTTCTTTCTTCATCGTCTTAAAGCCTCTCCAAAAGGAACTAAGCAAATCTTCTGTTTTCTCACTTGTGTTAGACTATAAGGGATTTAAATTGCTGCCCCTGTGGCTAAGCCTAGGTAACAGTTACATGGGCACTGTTCCTGATGGGATTCACCCATCCTATGACAGAGAGAAACCAAATAAATCCTGCCTAGATGTGGCATGTCAACAAAACTAGCTCAGGCACAGAGGTGCTTATAGGTAGGTGACAAGAGTTTCACTCACCACTATCTTGACAGTAGGACAAGTACACATGACCCGAATGCCACTCCTGAGTGACTTGTGTTTAGGTGTTGCGCTTGGACTCAGATTTCACTTGTTTCCCACTTTTTCAGTAATCCTCACATACCTCTTTTGCTTCATCGATAGTGCAAATCATGGAAAACTGTTCCATGCTTTGTCCTGTATATAGGTTTGTTAACAGACAGTTTGTGCACAAATAGTCCCTAAGTGAAAAGGACAAAAGAAGAACATAGAAACAATGGGACTGACAAAATGGAAGTTAATACAGTCTGGTAATGAAAACTAGTCTACAAATCTACCAACTCTTGGTCTATCACAATGATTATTAGACCAGAAAATACTTCTTTTTTCTTCTACGTTATGAACCCTATGAAGCCAAAACGGATTCTAACATCTATGTTCAGCCCCTATCACTGCAGGGATCTTAGTTCTGATGGACTGACCAGAACAAAATGCGCTTTTTTGAGCAGGTTGACAAAAGACAAGGAGAGGTCAAGAGGAAGGTGGGAACTCCTTAAGCTGTTTCTGCCACCATCATCTGTCTTGGCAAACCAAGACATAGCTGGTTCCAGCAGCACTGTCTGCCATTCAGCAGATATCTAATAGTGACCAAGCATCTTGTTTGCTTTGGTTTTATTTTTTTAAACCGTCTCCAGCTCAGCACTTAGGCATTTTCACAAAAAGAGTAACACATTATTTTTTAGTATCGTTGATTCATGGTTGATCCTGCAGACGAGTCATCACTTAGTGGTGTGAAATATGTGAAGTATGTAACGGCATAGCAATACCCTGTAGTTGTTTGTGAGAATAATTAAAAAAGGAAACGACTGAGACCAAACCTGGGGGAAGACGTGGATCACAGTGGGCTTCCTGTAACTTTTTCAGCTAACCTCTAAGGTGAAAGCTAACCCCTAGCAGTGCAAAAATGCCAATGCATCTTGGGATCTTCACTGCCAGCACAGCTGCGATATGAAGCCAAGCTCTAATCACAGACCAGATGGTTCCTTTATGTAAAGAGATAACTTAAGAGTTGCCAAGCTATTCACCCTTTCTGTAAATAAAGATTTCAGTAGGACTCAAGAAACTGGCAAAGCTGCAAATTTCCTGCCTGCGTCTTTGCTTGTTCTTTAGCCTTTCTTGCTAACTGTGGTGCCAATGTATTTTTAGGGCATGATTAAAAAAACAGGACAGTTTGCACCTCACTTGGATGCACTCTCTGTGAACCCAGTCGTACTGAAATTGTGCCACCACTGCCCTGGTCAAATGTGTGCTACTGGTGGCCCACAAAATAGCTGACCTGACACCTGAGCTAGAGCCAAGACACCGCTTCAATCTGCTTTCAACTCCTACTCAGGCTGGCTTTACTGCTGCAGAGCTGGAAGCTCAGAGCAAAGAGGAAAACAAAGAGACCCCTTTCTGGATTCAAGGGCTGAGTGGCCAGGTCTCCCAAGCAGTTTGCAAGGCTGAGCATCAGCCCCATAGCCAGTGTCCAGCTCAGAAACAGAATTTCTGTTAAGCTGAGACAATTGACTTGCAGAGATATGTAAGGAGACACCTGCAAACTCAGTACATCCCTCAGCTGCTGTTTAACGCTTCCCTGCATGGAAGATATAAATGTTCTGTTTAAAGAGGAGAAGGGGGGGCAGGGAGGGGCAAAGAGTGGTGGAGGGAAAAGATTGTCTATGCTGGTATTTTTTTTACTAATTCTTTCGTGTCAATAGCAGCAGCTAAAGCTTCACTTAGTTTTTTTTCACAGAGCTTCACTCTCTTTTTTCCACAGATTGATGGTGCGCTAGGAGAGGAAAGCTTCCAGTCAGAAATGCAAAGGCAAAAGCGAAATAGTACGTACACAAACGTATGGTAACAGAGCAGGTTTCTAGTAAACCAGGGGGGAATTCACTATTCATCTCTTGAAGTACTGAGCTGCAATCATCAAGGGAGAGTAGTTGTTGTGGTTTAACCCCAGGTAGCAGCTAAACACCACCCAGCAGCTTACTCACTCTCTCCCAGTGGGATAGCGGAGAGAATCAGAAAGGTAGAAATGAGAAAACTCATGTTTGAGTTTGGGTTGAGATAAAGACAGTTTAATTAGTAAAGCCCATCAGGAAATTCATTTACTACTTCCCAGAGTCAGGGAGGTGTTCAGCCGTCTCCAGGAAAGGAGGGCTTCAGCATGCATAACGGTTACTTGGGAAGACAAACACCATCACTCCAAATGTCCTCCCCTTTCTTATTCTTCCCCCACCTTTTATTGCCAAACACGATGTCACATGGTGCGGATGTCATGGTCCAGGTCATATGGTGTGTAACATCATATTGGTCAATTTGGGTCAGCTGTCCTGGCTGTGTCCCCCTCCAGTGTCTTGTGCACCCCCAGCCTACTCACTGGGAGGACAGAGTGGGAAAAAGAGAAAGCCTTGATGCTGTGGAAGCTCTCTTCAGCAATTACTGAAACGTTGGGTTATCAACACTGTTTTCTTCACAAATCCAAAACATAGCCTCATGCAAGCTACTATGAAGAAATTTAACTCTACCCCAGCCAAAACCAGTCCAGTACTAAAGGCACAAAGAAAAAAGGTGGAAACTTTTGTCTGGGCAGAGACTGACATGTATGAGCACGGCTTCTATGCAAGATGAAATATGTGGTGTAAAAAACAACCCGAGCATCTTAGCAGGGCAAGGGTCACAAGATAATCCTGTATGGCTTCAGTCTATGGTTGACAATCCATGCACTTGCTGAGTCAAAGGAGAGAAAGGATGAGAGAGCTTTTCTCTGTATATATTATGCCATTTATATCAGCTTCCTGCTGCTCTGAGATCAAAAAAGTCTGGCTTTTGTCAGACAAGCAGCAGACAAAACGCACGCAGAATATCTGAGTAGAAAGCAAGAAGATTTCCTAAGCAGAATGCCACACTAAGCTACCATTAAATAGCAACAAAGAGCCAAAATGCCAAACTGGAAGCCATCAGTTTGTGATTTATCCTCATACGCAACTTTGCAGTCTCATACTCTCTCTTTTTCAGTGCTTATTTTTGACATTCCCTCTCTGGAGTACACTGTTGACATTGAAGTAAGCCTTACAGATTCATCTTTCCTGGAGCCAGTCAAAGATTATTTCAAAAAACTTAATCTTCCAGTTTCAACAAATATTTCAAATGTAGAAATGACAATTTCAAACATCAACATTACAACAGGTGGGTTGGTTATTTATTTTTATATTCTGGGTGATGTGCTTTTTTTGCCAGTATTTAATCTGTCCCAGTTTTACCATCCATCACGCTTAGAAATCAGCAAAACTGAACTGTCTCTGCTGCCTACTGGAAGACCCAACCAGACTGAAGCTCTAGGACACAACATCATGTTTGTTATCTGCATCCCACCACCCCTCTTTATATAAAGTTGGCATTAGGAATACCCTTGAATGCTTTTCTTTTCCTAAGGAAGGGACGAAGCCAGAGGAAGCCTGAGCCAGAGGATTTTGCTCCTGTTTGACTAACAAGCAGCCTGAGTTACTTTGAAGTTTCAGGAAGCTGTGACAGCAGTTATCAGACTGTTTACTTCCCTCCACTTGCGTTTGGAACGCAAATCTCTGTAAGAGGCTCTACTCTGATCCTGACAGAGACAGGCTGCGTGAGATGCAGTCTTTTCCTGAGATAACTCATTAAATGTATCCTTACAGGGCAAGATACCACATGGGTTTTATTACATGAGTTGTAGTTGTGCAACATCACATCCAAGTAACTAATACAGCAGAGGATACACGAACACACCAAGCATTTACAGCAGTAGAGGAGGAGATTTGGAACCTTTTTATCCTGGCACATACAGCAGTGAAAGGAAGTGTTCATCAGTTCTCAAAACAACATGCAAATGGATCTTTTAAAGGCCTTCAGGATCACGTGCAATGCGTTAATATCTTACTTTGCCAATAGCACATTACGAGCAGGAAAGCTAACAGTGAAGTGGGGTTTTTTTGTGGGTATTTTTTATTTTTGTGGGTTTTTTTTTTAATTATTAGAGACAATGTATGTCTTTAAAGCACTTTGTGACAATGTCACCCTCTCTCATGCAGTGTCTATCAGGATATGGTGAGAATGACACAGCACCTCACTAGCCATCATGGCTTTGAATGACCTTTACATGCTCTCACAATCTTTAAAAGCCTATACATTTGCTTTCAGACCAGGCAATATAGAAATATCCAATCTGAAACCTATCATAGGATGCTGGCCAATATGCCAGGTAAATTTTTAGGATCAGGCTTCACACCTCCATTCAATAGCCTTGAATGTTTTTCTTTTCCTAAGGAAGGGACAAAGCTCAAAAGTAATTGATCAGACTTATCCCTGTACCAGTCTGGTTCCTATTTCTAGTTAGTCATTTATAATATTAGTAAAGTAAGATTTGCAAGGCATCAGATTGTCATGTTTGTACCATTCAAGTGAACTCACAAGAAGGGCAACATTTAGTTGAGATCACTAGCATAAAGATACAGCAGGGTAAATGTGTATTATACAATACGTTATGCCCCGTTTACCATTCTCATAGTATTTCTCTCTGTCTGACACTAGTCTGCCTGCCCAGTGGTGAGAACAATAGCTGTTGTTCTTGTGAAAATGGATATGCCTGGCCAAGCGCAGTGTGCAGCGACTTGATAACCTGCCCTTCTGTCAGCGTAGCACCTGACCTGCCCTGTGGCTACATGAAGGAAATGCCTTTCTATGGGCCTTACTGTAAGCCTCAGACTGAAGGTAAGACGAAACAGTGCTGAACATCATCATTGTATGACTCATATACCGGTTAGAAGATGGAATAGTGTTAAAGGTGTGATAAAGCAGCCCATCAGGACTGAGCAGGCTACCACATGGCCTATAACTTGGAAAGTCTGTTGAGGTAGTTCTTCTCTTTGTGGTGTCGGTCCACCTTGACCCAAGTACTTGCAGATATTTAGTGCTGTGCTGGAGCCCCAGCTCCTGGGATCACTCACATGCCTCTCTGGGACTTTCAGTTTCCACTAAGCAAAGAAAGTTTCAACTCATCAGATTTTCAACAGAGGAACTTAGAAATGTGACCAAAGTGTGTCATAGTGCTCAAGAGAAGGAACAAAAAATCCCAGCATGTACCATTTTTTCGGTTTTATTTCATGACTTTCATTACGAAGTGCCCATGACTTTTTAGGAACCTGACTGATGACTGGAAACTTAGGCTTGGCAGCACTGGGGTGGGTCATTACCTGTTATCTCTGCAACCCAAGACAAACTCCCATGAGGCTTTGCCTCTGATTTGCAATGAAACAGCATTCAGAGATACCCAGAGGCAGCGCTAGAGCTGGAAGAAGTTCAGTGTTGTCAGCATGCCTGTTCTAGTCAACTCTGCTTAGAGGCAATGCTTTTATCACAGGACAACGCCATATCAATACTGCTATACTGTTTCCAGGACTAGAGCTATTATCTCTTCTGTGTGGAAGTCACACATCCCTTAGAAGTTCAAGGCCCTGTGTACAATGTGCCTCCACTGCATGTTATTGACATGTCCTTAAATGGACCCAGCTTAGAAAATTCCAGTATCTCTCTGAGCATTTAATATTCTTTTGTGCCCATTGATGGGTCTTCACACAGTGTATTACCCTCCCAAAGTCACTGAGGATTTTTCCATTCATTTCAGTGAAACATAGGTAGAGATTCACCTTGTGTAACTTTCGGTATGTAAAAATTAAGTATCTGATCAATGTTATTAATCCAAACTCTCTATAACTGGAGCAATTTAGCAATTCAACCATTGTAGGAGAGCTGTCTATCACTTTCTGAACGTATCACATTTTGAAGGTCTTTACAGTTTTGCATCAACTAGAGATGCCAGTCATCTAAATTAGACACAGAAAATTAGGAGAATCTCAACTTTCTTATTGTACAGATGAATCCTGGCAAGTTGTAAGATTTTGATTTAGGGTTAGGATGGCTCCACCAAGGGCAAATTGTGCCTGACTAATCTAGGGGTCTTACGGGATGGAGTGACTGCATCAGTGGACAAGGGAAGAGCTACCTGGATGTCTACCTAGACATCTGTAAGGCCTTTGATACAATCCCCCACAAAGTTCTTGCTGCTAAATTATAGAGATATGGGTTTGACAGATGGACTGTTAGATGGATAAAGAACTGTTTGGATAGCCGTGTCCAAAGAGTTATTTTCAATGGCTCAACATCCAAGTGGAAGCCAGTAAAAAGTGATGTCCTCAAGGATCTGTGCTATTTAATATCTTCATCAATGACATAGATGGTGGGATCGAGTACACCCTCAGCAAGTTTGCAGATGACCCAAGCTGAGTGGTGCACTTGATTCGGCAGAGGGAAGGGATGCCATCCAGAGCGACCTTGACCACTTGAGGAGCGGGCCTGTGAGAACCTCATGCAGTTGAATGAGGCCTAGTGCAAGGTCCTGTACCTGGGTCAGGGCAATCTCCAGTATCAATATAGATTAGGGGGCGAAGGGATTGAAAGCAGCCACGCTGAGAAGGACTTGGAGATGCTGGTGAATGAAAACTGGCCATAAGCCAGCAACATGCACTTGCAACTCAGAAAGCCAGTTGTAACCTGGCCTGCAGAACAAGAAGCATGGCCAGCAGGTAGAGAGAGGTGATTTTTCCCCTCTACCCTGGTCTTGTGGGATCCCACCTGGAGTACTGTGTCCAGCTCTGGAGTCCTGAGTACAAGAAAGACGTGGACTTGTTGGAGCAGGTCCAGAAGAGGGCCACAAAAATGATCAGGGGGCTGGAGCGCCTCTGCTATGAAGAAAGGCTAAGAGAGTTGGGGTTGTTCAGCCTGGAGAAGAGAAGGCTCCGGTGAGACCTTATTGCAACCTTTCAATACTTAAATGGGGCCTATAAGAAAGACTTTTTACCAGAGCCAGTAGTGACAGGACAAGGGGCAATGGTATTAAACTGAAAGAGAGTAGATTTAGGTTGGACAAAAGGAAGACTTTCTTTACTGTGAGGGTGTTGAGACAGTGGAACAGGTTGCCCAGAGAAGTTGTGTATGCCCCATCATTGAAAGTGTTCAAGGTCAGGTTGGAAGTCCCTGCCCATGGTAGGAGGGTTGGACTGAATGATTGATAAAGGTCCCTTCCAATCCAAACCATTATATGACTCTAAGAGTCTATGTTTAAGTTAGAAGAAAAAGCTAAAAAATCACTTGTAAGCATTGCTTTTGACTATTTTTACACTATTTTTGCGTTTTTCCTTACAGACTCATGTGGTATGGGAGACCCCATTGTAATGAATATGTCAGTCAGACTCGACACAGACTTTTGGGATGATCTCAGAGATTCTTCTTCTGAATTATACAAAAAATATAAAGCTGACCTTGAAAAAGCGGTAATGACTTTATTTTTCCATCTCTGAAGTATTTATCCTAAATGTCTGGGAAAGAGGGTGCATTGTCCCTGTCCCTGTGGGGAGCTGTGAAGTATGCAGCAGTGGTAGCAACAAAGTGGGCCAAAGCTGACCTCCATCGAAAGGCAATATTCCCATTCATTTTAATATGCTGGCCAACAGGGACATATGCAGGAGTCTTTTGCACAAAAAAAAAATCACATTATTGTTCCCAGCTTAAATCCTTATCAGCACACATAGGATGAAACCAGCAACACAAATTTATCTATCCCATCATAGTGGGGAGAGCACCAGGCCTATTCTATCAGATACTGTACACACTCTTACTCACATCAGTGTTTGATGGACAGTTTCTTATTTTAAGGATGCTAGGGTAATATACAGACAACTTATGTCATATATCTTTGTTTACAGTTTAATGCTAGCTACAGATGTTTACCAGGCTTTGTATCAGCAACAGTAACTGGTTTTAGGTAAGTAAACAATTTCATTTTTTTCCTGGAAGACAGAAATCTTTCTGTTCAGTCTTAAGGAGACACCAGTCAGCAAAGACTACATTCACTCTGGCTAGAACCCATGCCCAGTATGTACATACTGAATAGTATAATAGGCGCAAAGGAAACCCCAACTATTAGCATGGAAATAGGATTGCGGGTAAAATTCACTACTGTGCGAAAGTCCAAGAAACTTAATCATTCTTCTTCTGGGTTAAAATTGTTTATCAAAAAGACTGAATTCCACCCAAAAGAGGAAAAGGATGCAAGTAAAACTAACATAATTTCCTAGGTCATCGGGAAGATGAATTAGTACATTGACTCTGGATATAACATTGGATCTGGATAAAAGAGACATTACTTAAGTCCACACATATACAAATGCAGCTGTATTTTAAGTTTTCTAAGGGAAGTTTACTAGAAATAGACATCAGATGAAGGAGATGTCACATAAAGGTGTTCTTACTTTGGGAAGAGCTGTAGTACAGCATTCTTGTATACCAGAGCAAGTCTTGAGTCACAACAGGAACCTTCACAGGTGAGCCCTATGAAGCCTTCCTAGCCATGTAAGATGGGTCACCACGACATAGAAAAACACTGATATGCAAGGATATTTAATTCTGGTGCTTCTCTCATTCTTGTATCTGTTTAGGCCTGGCAGTGTTTTTGTGAACTACGAAGTAAAAGCAGGAGCAGCAAGCTTCAATCAGATAGCAAGTTCCAACAGAATTGTACCGCAATATCTAGATGCATTGTACCACCTACAAGAACATACCTTCACAACAGAAATAACTAGTAAGTTTAAAGCTCTATCTGTATTTTCCTTCAATCTTTACTTTAGTATTTCTAGCCTGAACCATGTAGCTGCCTTGTGCTGTTGATTATCTGGTACTGGACCTTCAAAAACATTTTTTTCTCTGGCTGTTTCATTTCATCTTGTGCCACCAAATCTTAGGACTTACATGAGTGATCACTCGTGCAGTACCTCCCATGAAAAACCAAATCCTTCCAGCTACTCTGCTGAATCCCGATGCAGTCTCTCCATGGGAGAGAGATTGAATACCTTTAAGTTCGCCTCTAGAACTGAGACAGCTCTTAATATATCAGGCTGTGAGCACTTTCCACTTACTCGAACAAAACAAAAACCTCTTGCAGTTTACATGAGAACAGATTGCTCCCCCTGGCACATTTTCCATGCTGCTGCTGGACAGTGTGTTACAATTCAGTTGCCTGATCAAGTGCCCTAGAGGTCCTGTACTCTCAGTGCACTGAACACTGGACTGTCTGTCTCAGAGGATTACTTTAACCTGGTTGCTTCTTCCCCTGGCTTATGTACTTAGAAAGTAGTGGTGATGATATTTCTGGCTTTCTGCATAAAACTTTCTGGGATCTTTGGCTGATAAAGATAGTAGAAGAATACGCTGAGGGAAAATTGCATAGTTTGTATCAGAGGTAGTGCCCTGGAACTGATGTTGAGTGCATATTTGTTGTGAAGTACCTAGGATACCCACAAGATGAAAGACACCATGGAAATGTGAGCTGAAATGACAATAATGCAGAATGTTGCTCTTTGTTTTCCCAGATCAGACAAACTTCACTGTGACTCCTGTAGACATTTCTGAAGGGGACACAGTAAGACTGAGTTGTGGGATAAATTCAACATCTGAGGATGTGGTCTGGTATCACTTTGATCAGATCATCTCAACCGGCTTCGCGTATGTGACAGAGAGTAGAATTTCAAGGATAAACTCAAGGTCGATTCTTACAATTACCAACATTACAATGAAGGATTCTGGTATGATTTTCTATCATTAAAACAGCAGATGTAAATCCCTAGTGTGGCTAGATCTATAAAAAGCAAAGAGGAATGCAGAGACTACATTTTCCTAAAGTAAATGCGAAAAATACACTGTGCCTCATAATTTTCTGGTGGTTTTTGTTCTTTAATGAACTATGTACTGAGTGACATTGCCAGTAAGATGTGAACTGACTGAAGTGACTACACAGGGCGGGGTATTCTCGGTGCCAGGCTTCATTGCCATATCACAGGAGACAGTGGTGACTACCTGGCTGTGAGGTCTTTCCGCCCCTTTCGGCCTGGTAGCTTGAGGCTGTGGTTGAATTTGTCCCTGACTGCCCTTGCCCCCTTTGCAAACATAACCTAAGTAATCAGAGCTTGGAGTTACAGTTTTTCATGTGTTCATGTTTAGCACTTTTTGAAAACCAGAAACAGGTAGATAGGTGGCATTTTGCTGGGAGTTATCAGAGGAATTATTTTGCTGGGAGGAGTTATCAGAGGAATTATCAGGTATTATCAGAGCTTTGGCTCAAGCTCCCATGCAGTTCTTCTCTTTGGACCATGAATTCTACATTCAACTTCAAAAAGGGTAGCCTGTGACCAGGTATTTGGGCACACATATGTGAGGTAGGAGTTGAGTCCGAACTTCTTTGGGCTAAGGACCTTGGTGTCTCCACTCCTATGTAAAAGTGGCCTACTCATTTGGCCATCCCAACGGGGAAGTGGAATCCACAAAGGAATTTTGAAGCTCTTATTGTCAATTTCAAAAGGAAGCTGGGCTGCATCCAGGGACAAGTGCCTGAGAAAGCAGCTGATAAAATACTCTGCTCTCTTTGGCAATACCTTCTGAGTAGCTTATGTGCCTACACTCAGAGTGCCAACTCCACCCTGGGCACCTATCTCTCACCCATTCTGTGTAAGAACCTTTTACACAGTCAGTCTACATTCTTACCATGACATATTGCTGTCACGTGGTTTATGGGCAATATACAAATCCCAAAAAACACCAACTCAGCCAGATTTTCTGTATTTCAGTCTCATAGCGCTGGTCTCTTCTCAAGTACCCATTAACACTGAAGCTCTCTAATCTGGATAAATCTGGCACCAGGAGTCTGCAGAAAGCATACTGCAGATGACCTAAGGGTACATTTTAATTAGGAAGCAACAGCCACTACTGCAGAGCAGGGAGATGTGAAAACCAGGTGTGGAAGTAGCTCCCAGATCCTAACTCCAAAATGTAGAGGAAAAATCAGCAAAACATGTCCCCAATGCTAATATATTGCCTATGTTTTACAGGTTCCTCCTATACGTGTGCTTTCACAACCAGCAGACAGGGTCTCACACTGATATACAAGGCCACGAAAACAATAACAGTCTCTCCACTACACGTCACTTCTAAATCAAATGACACTGATGTTATATGCAACGATCCAGAAATGCAGACAGACAGTTCTCTGCTGTCTTGTTGTATTGACAGACACTTACCATCACTTACTGCTGTCTGGAAAGTAAATGGAGCACTGAATATTACAGGTAAGATTAACAAAAGATTGTCTTTCACCTGCTGGGTTTGTACATTCCTCAAAGTTCTTCTCCTAACTGGCTACCCCAAAGGCCAAGTCCTAGGATGAATATAGCGTATGCTCTAAAGGGGTGCATGTGTGGGAAGGGTGATGGATGGACAGCGTGGCACAGACTCCATATGTTTGTGCAGGTGCCAGCGGGATTCTGGGCATCTGCATGCACTGTGCAAACATTGATGCTCAAAACTGTGCCTTCCTGAGTGGAAACAGCTGCCTACACCAGCATCATACTGACTTTTCCCAAAAAGCTTATTTCTGCATTGTCTAGTTTTGAGAGCAACGATGAGTGCATCAGTCTCTACTGCTGTCTCCAGTGCACAGTTTCTCTCCCTACGTGTTGTGGTACACCACATGCCAGTTGAGTCAGTGACATCCCACAAGGCTTTACTTATAAAATGAATATAAAGGGTTAATAAAGCACCAAGTAAGCATGTTATAAAGAGTTACAAAAGAACTTAAATAGAAACGCTCATAAATGTCTGTGAACTATAGTCATAACCAGCCTATTGCCCTCTTAATATTTTATGGGTATGGATTAACTGTTTATTGCTAACTGCTTGTCATAAATGAAATTTAGCAGAAATCAGGACAGCAAAATGAGACAAAATCTTCAAAGCTCATGTGCACAGTTGTTCATCACAAGACTTTCCTTAGCTAGAGTGATTGCTTGTCATTTCCAAGCTCAGGTATTTTTGAACATCCGTAGCCCTTCAAGGAATATTTATTTCTCTCTAGGAGTCTCAAGTTTCAGTGACAACTGCACTAAATACAAGCTCAGCATCAATGAATCACTATGCCCACCTGAGAAGTCAGGTACAGTGACAACATATACATGTGAGCTGCAGACTGGACACGGTGGCAAGTGCAGTCAAAACATCAGAGTGACATACCTCCGGACAGGTAAGTGTCAGGTAGCATGTAACAGACGATCAGCTCTTTAACATACAGGTGGCCTCTGTAGAACATGTCATTTGCAAGCAAATGATTATAACAAGTGACTCTCAATAATATGACATTTATTTTGTGTTGTCTCAGCACATGTGACAATATCTTCACGCCTAAACTCGTCCGTTTCCGAGGGATATCCGTTCAATCTAACATGTGAAAGTGATGTGAGCAATTATGACAGTATCAGTTGGAAAATCCAGTCTGGAAATAACATAAAAACAGTAGACTGTAATAACTGCATCGAAAACAGCAAATTTCCAGCCACATCTGTGCTGAAAGTGAAGTCTGCCGCACAGGATTGGAATGGTGAGTGAACCTGCTGTGTATCAGCTACAAAGGCAATGAAATCTCTGTACCAGATAATTTACAGCATCCCTAGTCATCCCAGCTGAGGGTGGTGAGGCGCTGAAACAGGTTGCCTAAGGAAGTTGTGGATGCTCCACCCCTGGCAGGTTGGATGGAGCTTTGGGTAACCTGGTCTAGTGGGAAGTGTCCCTGCCTATGGCAGGGGGCTTGGAACTAGATGGTCTTTGAGGTCCCTTCCAGCACAAACCATTCTGTGATTCTATGAAATCACTGTGAAGCCTGGCCATGGTAAATAAAAAAAAAAAGAGTTAAAATCATAACTGCTGAAGAACAGCAAGACATGATGCTGCCAACACCACTGTGCTTGTTCATTATTAGGGCTCATGATCATGCAAAATCTGAAGGACGCTTCTGTTGACAGAGACACATTTTTTGTGTCATTTCTTTCAGGCACCTACATCTGCACATTCTCCCAAAAGCATTTGGAGAGTTCTGCCAATGTGACAATCGAGGTTATTCCCTTGCCTCTTAAGCAGAACATCCTGACAGACCCCATCGCAGCGTCTATACAGTGTGAAGTGCAACGAGCCCTTGAGTGCTGCATAAGTGCTAATACCACAGAAGTTTACACTGTCAAATTCATCGTTCAAGAAAATGAATTTCATGTTGGTAAGAAACAATAAACTTGCAGAATCACTACTTGCACTATGCGTCACAACCCTCTCCCTGGCTTTTTTTTTGTTTTCAGTTAGGTCTGTGTAACCAATTTATACTCACTGCTATTATGGCAACCCACAAGTACTCCTGAGAGTATAAAAAAGGGGTGACGGACTGTTTTTAGGATGGCTGCTATGCCTAGGGAGCATGGCTGAGATTACTAGAACAACAACTGGATCACTGCTCTAGTGATAAATACATAGTAGGTAAATTCAAAGTTTAGTTTGCTGTGCCAGACAGTGAGAAGCGAGCGTCCTCATCATTGCTCAGATCAGAAATTGCTGAACTCCATTTATTTGTTGCCACTTTTTTGAGCTGAGTATCAAGGAAATATTACATAAGAAGATGATCTACTAATTAATGAAGAAAGTATAATAACACACTAAGAATGCAATTCAAAGAACTATTTATTTTCTTCAAGGATACAGATAACGTATCTGTAACAGCACAGAACATTAAGCTTCCACGTCTCCAAAAAAAAGGCAGTTCTGCAGCTTCCCTGTCATGTTTTTATGTACTAGAAGTTTTCAAGTGGGTTACAAAAGTTAATTTGAAAAAACCATAGAGCCACCTAAACTAATGCATAAAACATGCACGAGTGCCAAAACAGCACGCCGGAGTATAAGCAGGTGGAGACTGAGGGGTCCTTCAGCTGCTAAGAAAAATGCCAAGATATTTTGGAAGAGATTGCAGTCAGAGACCCTCAGGCACAGGCATACTGAAAAGCAATGGAAGTGTGGTACAGAGTTCAAAAGAACCATATAAGAACAGCAAAAAAGTACCCTAGTCTAAATGAAATGCCTGTGGTAGAAGCAGAAGCAGGAAGAGTGTTCTCCAAAACTGTTTCTAAAACAAATTTTTGTTCCTGCATAGTAAAAGAGGGTTTAGGCAGGATTTACTCATACACCAGTGATTGAAAAGGTAGTGATCACGCAGCAGCTGCCAGAAGATTTAAGTGGGGAGTAAGAGGCAGAGATCAGCATACAGAAAGGAAGTTTTTCCATAAAGGAAGTTTTGTTTTTTTTTTTTCTCTAGGACCCACAGAAAAGAAAGTTTTGCAGAAGCTTGCTGCTGTCTGTTAGCTGATGAACCCCAAATCTGTGTTAACCTGTCTTAATCATTCCATACAGGGAAAAACAAAAAAGGAAATTTGTTTTGCTACATGTGCAATTATACAGCAACAGAATGCAGCAAAAAGAAAGAGCTCACAGCATATTGCAAGTTTATTAACCACATTGGACAGGAAGTCAACAGTGAAAATATAACACTGCACCTGATACCTGGTAAGAAAAAAGTTGCTATTTCAAGATGTTAAATACCAAATCCCAGTGTCTTTGTTAAATCAGATGCCACAAATTTATCACTGGTGATACCTAACAGGAGCAGGTTTTGTTAGCCAAGAATTTTTGTCGCCTTTTTTGACAGGAAATCCTGAAATACAGAGAAAAATATTAATTTTGCCGTAATTTTAAAAAACAAATAGACAAGATGTTTTGTCTTCATTGTATTTGACAGTAGCCCCAGTATCTTCCCAAGCGGATATAGTTCAGTCATCTTCTGTCCCTGCTTCCTTCTGGTGCAGCCTGCACCACCAAGCTTTGTCTCCTGTGTTGAAACATAGTCATGCAGCTCCCAGCTTGCACCAACAATTTAGCTAGTAAGGATAATAACAGATTGTGGTGCCTCTGGAAGAAGTCATCTAGCTTAGGAGATCAGCCTGTAGGAGAGCACATGTACTTTAAACACAAGAATGGAAACGTTCATGAGGTGTTGCAGAGACCTGGGCAGACCCAGGTTCCAGTCAGCTCTGCAGGAAATGATGGGTAGTTAAAATTCAACATTGCCAAATCCAGATTTGATGTTTAGTTCTGGCTAGAGTTTGGATATTTTGGCTTCTTATTCTAAGTCGGAAAGAAAGAAAGAAATGTTGGACATCCCCATAATGCAGGAATTTTGTTTTTTCCACAGTAATGGTGCCTACAGTTGAGTCACTGTATCTGGCCAGATTTCACTCTCTTAGGCAATAAATATGCAGACACTTAATTTACTTTAATCAGCAGATATTTACCAATATAACTAATCCAATAAAAGCCAATCAGCAAGACTCACTGTTCATCAAAAAGGTGTTGAGGCCTCACTATCAAGGTCTTAATGAGTTTCCTATTAGTGCTACAGCAGCACTGAGTCCCTTAGCAGAATAAACTCTGTGTGAATCACTATTCACATAGTGGTCGCTACAATCCTACTCCACCTCTGTCTACCCTGTAATCTAGCAGACAAGTCCTAAAACTTTGGGTATTGGTTTGTTGATTTGATTCAGTGCTCAAAACCAAGGGGCTTTATTAAATTTCCTTTTTAATTTCACAATTCCAAAAAAGTGAGAATGCAAGACCAATGCAGGACATACCCTGAAAGGTCAGAATTAATGAACAGAGCAAGCTGAAATCCTAACTAATTTAAAGACCTCTGAACTTCAGGAGGTCACAGGTTTGACGGGGGTAAATTATTCATCTCCCTGCTTCTTAGTTTTCTGCTTCTATGTCTTTTTCTCAATACAGACAAGGAAGTTTCCTGCTCAGACAGCCTTGGCATTGGAATAGAAGGGACCACATTAACAAAGCCATGCGTTGAATTAAATAATCCAGACGGTTTTACCCGAGGCAATAAAATTTACAAGTGCTCCAACAAATCATGGAAGCTTGAAAGGGATAACTGCCTGTCTGTAACAATAAACAACCTGCTGAGTAGGGCTGAGGTAACATTCATGAGTTTTCCAGAGCCTGGGAACAGGGGTAGGAGAAAGCAAAAATTTTTGTTAGTGTTTTTTTGCTTAACATAGTCTAAAATATAAGAAGCATTAAAAATATTTAATTAAAACTATATTTTAAAAGATATAAAGAATGATTTGCTATGTCTACAGAAGTCAGTGAAAGAGGCTAGGTCCCCTTCTCTGGCCCAGAGTTTATGGGGCGGGGGCAGGGGGCAGTTGGAATCACAGTCCATGACTTTATCATACAACATGAAAAGCCTTTGGGCTATCCTCTCAGCTGGGATAAATAAGCAGAGTTCTATTGGTTTCTGGGTGAATGAGATTGTAATTCGAATCAGAAGCAAGGTGTTTGTTTATACCATAACCCAGAGAATGTTCTCTCCCCCAGACAAGGTGACCTTATTCTGAGCATCCAGCTGGAGCAGTAGCTGGCCTGGTGTGTTCCCTGAACCATGCTCAGGCACTGCCTCAGTGAACACTGGTTGGCACAAGCCCAAAGCTTGCTACAGAATACACTAATGACCATGCAGTAGGGATAGCGCTGGGCCACTGCCCGACCTCAGACCCAGGCCCTGCTTTGCATGCCCTGTCAGCCACTACACTTCACAGATAGGTGCTGGGCCTTGGTTTCAGCCTAGGTATCCTATGATAGTGCTCTTCACTTCGACAAAGCATCCAGAGTCATCCTTCTCTCAGTCAGGTTAGATGAGAACAATTATCTTTCTGTCATCAAATACTTACTATGTTTATTTTAGTAAATTAGGCACAGCGAGGTCCCCACCAGAGGTACAGGCACTTAATTATGTGTTTTCTTAACTTCTTAGATTGCTCCCTCATATGGTTTGGGCCCAGGCCAACTATTTTCTCCCCCAAAATTTCCAGGAGCAGTCTGTGAGTTAGCGCAAGAGACAACTCTCAATAGGCAGTTAGGACACCCTCTGCTGGAGGGTCAGAGAGTTGAACACCACCAGCATGTCTAGAATGACCCCAGCTCTGTTATTTTACTAGCATAGGGGTAGCCATTATGAAGGAGGATCAAGCTCCACGCGAACTGCACACGTGATGTACTGTTATCTTCTGTTCCAGTCCTTGGTCAACAGTCCTGAGGCAAAAGCAAACCTACCTAACTACCTTACAGAGCTTAAGAATATCACAGAAAAAGAGCAAAACACAATAAGTGGTTCTTCTGCGAACCTAGGCGCAATCGTTACCATCCTGAGTACAATCTCCTCTATCCCGGCAAATGCAGAGAAGACCACTATTCAAGTAAGGTTTTATTTTCTTACCTATACTTATCAAGCCCTTTGGCTACTTTTGTCACAGTAGGTGCCATTCTCCCTGAGGAAGTTTCACGGTTAGTTAGGGTCAGGAACAGGAAAGTATTAAGGGAATGAGATGAAATGACAGCAAAGATGGAATGACAGCAAAGATATAGAAGAGCTTATGAAAAGTCAAAAAAATGACGACAAGGTGCTTATGCATGAAAGAGAGCCTACTGTATGCTTAGCAGCTAGAAATGTTCTAGGGACCCTTAAATGTTTCTAGTGTTTCAAGACAGAGGAAAGGACAAGGAGTGACGGACGAAAAATTGGACATGAGCCAGCAATGTGCACTTACAGTACAGAAAGCAAAACATGTCCTGGCCCGCAGAACAAGAAGCTTGGCCAGCAGGTTGAGGGAGGTGGTTCTCCTCATCTACTCCACTCTCATGAGACCCTGTCTGCAGTACTGTGTCCAGCTCCTGGGTTCCCCAGTACAAGAAAGCACATGTTGGAGAGGGTCCAGAGGAGGGCCACAAAAATGGTCAGAGGACTGGAACACCTCCCCTGTCAGAAAAGTCTGTGAGAGTTGGGGTTGTTCAGTCTGGAGAGGAAAAGACTCTGGGGAGACCTTAGAGCAACCTTTCAGTACTTAAAGTGGACTTATAGGAAAGACAAAGACTTTTGACCAGGGCCAGTAGTGACAGGACAAGGGGCAATGGTTTTAAACTGAAAGCAGGTAGATTTAGATTAGATATAAGGAAGAAATTTTTTTATGAGGGTGGTGAGACATCAGAACAGGTTTCCCAGAGAAGTTGTGGATGTCCCATTTTTGGAAGTGTTCAAGGTCAAGTTGGATGTGCCCATGACAGGCCAGTGAACTGGATGATCTTCAAATGTCAAAACCATTCTGTAGCTCTATGAGTAGTAGCAGGAATAGAAAAAAAGGGTTGAAATAAAGACAGGGAGAGTAGATTCCAGGGGCTCTGATCAAGTGAGTAAAATCAGTTGGATGTTACAACAAATGAATAGCAAAACAAGTCTTAGAAATACTTGGAAACCTTGATTGTGAGGCACAGAGGAAAAGTACTGCTCTTCTGAGCAGAAAAGTGCAAAGAGACTTGGTGTGTTGTAGCTGGAGAACCCTACATGAAAGAGAGCGAGAAATCAAAGATACCACAAAGGCTGAGAAAGAAGGGAAAGAAGGTTGAAGAAGAAAAAATACTAAGTGATATGTGAAAAAAAAAAAAAAAAAAGGCCATGCAGCTCCACTTTTGGGAATTTTGAGAATTTTAACTTGAAAATAGAGCGTGCAGAGGGTTAACAACTTAAGATTTCATGTGGATCGAGATAAATAACTACATGCTGGGCTTTTTCAAAAGGCAATTCTAGGACCACACAGAAATTACAATCAGAAACAAAAATGATTTGTATGTGATTTCAGTAACAGCATTATTCTATTGTTGTTCCAGAATTTCCTCTCCACAGTGGACTTTATTGTTGCTGATTCCACAACTAAAGCTTGGGAAGACCTGAATAAAGAGGAGATACTCCAAAGTTCTTTGTTGTTGAGTTCGGTAGAAAATTTTTCCCTGCACCTCCAACCAGTTAATAATACCATTCCTCCTGTCTCTGTAAACACCCTTCAGCTACAGGGTGTAGTTGTCACAGGAAGTAACAACACAGATTATGCTAAGAGCTTCAGCAGTACAGATGACCTCACAGTTAATGTGCACATTGGTGAAACTGAAATTCGTACTCTAACCCAAAATTCAACCATTGTCAGCGTGATGTACTCAAAACTTGGACATATTTTGCCCTGGAATGAGCCCGAGTATGTGAATGGCTTACTGATATCAACAACTGTAAGCAGCAACATAAGCCAGAATTTCAATATTAATATGAACTTTGCAAAGAAAGACTCATCTCTACGGATGCCCCAGTGTGTCTTTTGGAACTTCACTCTCCTTGGAAGTAGAGGGGGCTGGGATACTCGAGGCTGTACAACCACAGAGGTAGAAAACCATGTCATTTGCTCCTGCAATCACTTGACATCATTTTCCATTCTGATGTCACCTGATAAACCCTCCCAGGTTATCTTTGAAGATTATATTACATACATTGGCCTGGCCATTTCAATCTTGAGTTTGGTGGCCTGCATTATAATTGAATCCTTAGTCTGGAAATACGTGACAAACAACACAACCTCCTACATGCGCCATGTCTGTATACTCAACATAGCTATGTCACTCCTGATTGCTGACATTTGGTTCATTGTCACTGCCTCCATCAATTACCAAAACCAACAGATGAACAGAGATATCTGTTTTGTGGCCACCTTCTTCATCCATTTATTCTACCTGTGTGCCTTTTTCTGGATGCTCAGCCTGGGCCTCATTCTTTTCTACAGACTGGTCTTCATCTTACATAATACAAGCAAGACCGCTCAGAAAGCAGTGGCATTCTGTCTGGGATATGGTTGCCCCTTTGTCATTGCAGCGATCACCATTGCTGTCACACTGCCAAGGAACAGTTATACCAGGAAGAATGTCTGCTGGCTCAACTGGAAGGACAGCAAAGCTCTCTTGGCCTTTGTCATACCTGCCCTGATCATTGTGGCCATGAATTTGTTCATCACTGCAGTTGTTATAATAAAAATACTGAGGCCAACTATTGGGGATAGGTCAAACAGGCAGGAGAGGAACTCTTTGTTTCAAATTGGCAAAAGTGTGGCCATCTTGACACCACTGTTAGGTCTCACGTGGGGATTTGGCCTTGCCACCGTCATCAGAAACAGTCATCGAGCTTTCCACATCCTCTTTACTCTGCTCAATGCTTTGCAGGTGAGTCACATATATGCACGGTTTTGTTTCCTCTACGACCATTTAACATGTACTGACATTCTTACAGTGCTGTGCTTGGAGGGGAATAAAAACAGCTCGGCAAAGCTCAGGTTTGCCTTACACGTCCTTATTCCCAGAGCAGTCTTTGAAAAATCCCTTCCAGGCATTCAGCAGTATTTCATATTCTCGGCTGCCTTAATAGATGTGCCTTGTAGTTAAAGCTGATGTAAAAATACATCCTAACTTTTCCCAGTAGCTTTGGGAAGAACTTAATTCCTGAAGATCAGGAAAATATCCCTGTTATGTTCAGATGGGCAAGCTTTGGCATGCCTGGTCTCATTTAGAGTGCATCTGGAGGTATCATGTTTGTTGGTTCAGGTAATGAGGGAGTAAAAACAACATGAAAGTCACCAAGAACAGCTGAGTAGTACTACTAATAAAGAGAGGAATTGACCAAAATACACGATTGAGAGTTTTCTGTCAGTATGATTTTTACAACAACATATTTAGATGGCCAGTAGGATAACAATACAATGGGATTTCTTAAGGACACAATAGTTATGTCTGTTCCGTAGACTCTGTATAACTGTCAGCAAGAATGACATAAAAATTGAATGCTTTAGACCAAGCTCACTTGCCTTTTATACTGTGAACCTGCTAGTTTATCTGGGGAGCATAGGCAGGACATGTCTTCCATACACAAAAGTCCATTCTTCCAAATACGTTTAGTGCTAGTAAACTATCTGTGTTACTTTTGTAGACCAGATACACACAGAGTCTAAATAGGCCAGGCCTGGAGAACTCCTATCACATCAACAGTCCATTACATGGACGTGGTTAGAAAAATGCCCTCTATCAAAAAGTTCAGAGTTTAAATAGTCAACATAGAAAATGTTTGAGAAAATTATGAGGTACTGCAATTAAAAGATTGGTGTCATCAAACTGTATGTAATTATCTGTCTCCTAGGGATTATTCATTTTGGTGTTTGGGACTCTCTGGGACAAGAAGGTAAGAATTCAAACTGTTTCTCATATTATGTGAAAATGCTGTTGGAATTGAACATAATTGCTATATTTACTGGTTTTGTTCGTTTTGTTTTTTTTTTTTTTTACAAATAGATACAAGAGGCCCTGCTGAAGAGGAATTCAACGTCCAAATGGAGTTCGCAGCAAACAAGGGTTAGAACCTTGAGCTAAGAATGTATTTCAGTTACTGCTGAATAGTCTAACATTCTCCAAGTGTCTTTTAAGTCAAATGCACTTTATATTCTGAATTATTATTAGAAATATTCAGAGAAAGAGAAGACACTAACAACATAAATATGAATACACCCCTTTTTCCAAAGTTCATTATTTCATCTATAGTTCGTAAAAAATGAGAAGGGGGTCGGTGGACATTTGCCCTAAATTCAACAAGAAATAAACCATAAAATGTAACTGATACTTCAAGTAAGAAACCAGAAAATTTCAGTGGCACTATTATTTATTCACAACCTAAGAGAAATGCAAAGGGAACTTCTTGGAGAAGATGCCCTTCAGCTATGAGCAGGAAAGGATGGAGATACTGCAACTTGAACTTGTGAGACAAGGAGACAGGCTAGCCTCCACTTTATGCTGGGAACAGAAAGTGGGAGGAAGTATGACTCTTTTGTCAAAATCATGTCTATGTGTTGCGAAGACTCAGATTTTAATGAGTAAAAGAGAATATAAATCAATGTGTTTCTGGAACCAAGTGGCCTGGACACACTCCTAGAAGAGGAGAGAGTTGGGTCCCATACCCAGAAAATCCCTGCATTCAACCCAGAACATTGGGTGCCTAAAAAAAAAAAAATTAAAAAATGTTGCAAACAGGGACTGGATCCTTAAGGAAGATCCTGGAAGGCTTCTCTTCCATCCGCAAAGCTTCTCTGAGCCAGTGACTCTTGCACTCCTCCCTGCAGTGAAGCACAACTTGAATGGGTATCTGGAAATACCTCTGCTCAAGACAGACATTCACATTACAGAGGGAAACTAGTTCCACTACCATCTTTAAAAGAAAAAATAAAGTTCACACAGTGCCTCGGAAAAATGACTGCTGAGGAATGTAATTAGGATAGAAACAAAGACAGAGAAAACAAAGATGTCACAGAATTGTGGAACAGTTGAGGTTGGAAAGAAGCTCTCAACATCATCTAGTGTAAATCTACTGTTCAAAGCAAGGTAAATTAGAACAGGTTGCTTAGACTATTGTCCCATCAGGTTTTCAGTATCTCTAAAGCTGGAGAATCCATTACTTCTTCAGACAGAAAGTTGTGGTTCATTGCCACCATCAGCATAAAAAAGTGTTTTTTTTCTTATCATTAAATGGAATCTTGTAAATTTAAATTTGTGCTCCACAGACCAAGAATCTGAATAAAAAATGGTCAGTGGCTGTTTGAAAAGGGTAAACCAGGG